TCAGATAAAGTCAAAGCAATGATAAACATACAACCACCTTCAAACACGAGGGAGGTCCAATGCTTAACAAGAAGGATAGCGGCCCTAAGTTGGTTTGTCTCTAGATCAAGCGACAAATGTCAGCCCTTCTTCTAAACCTTAAAAAGGACATTCCAATGGGATACCCAATGTGAGGAAGCATTCAGAGCCCTTAAAGATTATCTGAGCTCACCCCTAGTTCTAGTAAGTCCTTTGGAGGGGGAAGTGCTCACCCTATACCTCGTTGTTTTGGATTTCTAAACTAGCGCATCGTTAGTAAGAGACAAGACAGAGTTTAACAACCAACTTACTATAATAGAGCTCTGAGGGGGTAGAGGAAAGATATCCAAAGATGGAGAAACTATTCCTAGCTTTAGTTTTAGCAGTAAGAAGGCTTAGATCGTACTTTGAAGCTCACATCATTGAGGTCCCAACAGACCAACCAATGAAGCAAGTATTGCATAAACTAGAATCTTTAGGAAGGTTGGTCAAATAGGCCATATAGCTCAGTGAATTCGATATCAGGTACAAACTCAGAATCACAATCAAATGACAAAATTTTGGCAGATTTTATCACAGAATTCACTACAGCCATAGAAGCACCTATGGAGGCAACCCCGCTACTTTTCAACCTCCTCACATAGAAACTTTTAGTGATGGAACTACCAACGCCCAAGGAAGTAGTGTGGGATTGATCCTGACCTCCCTAGATGGAATAGATGTCAAGTATGCCCTCATATTCGATTTCAAGTCTTCTAACAACGAAGCAGAATATAAAGCTGTCATCGCTGGACTCAATTTGGCCCACTCAATGGAGGCAGAACAACTCAAAATCTATAGCGACTCCCAGCTCATGGTAAAACAAATAGAAGAGACCTATGAGGCCAAGGGAGAGAGGATGATCCTATATCTAAAAAAAGTGCGAGAACTAATAAGGAAATTCGTACAAGTCAAAATCAAGCATGTCCCCAGAACTGAGAATTCTAGAACAGACACTTTAGCAAGGCTTGCAACAGTTTCTCAGGAAAGTCTGGACAACTTAATCCCAGTAAAACACCTAGCTGAACCATCTGTGAGCCACGAAGACAAAAAAATGTTCCCTGTATTGGCCCAATCGAGCTGGATGGACCCAATCAGAGAATACCTTCAGGATGGAACTTTGCCTGCAAATCCCAAAGAAACTGTGAAGCTGAAATTCAGGTCATCCAGATTCACGATCTTGCAAGGAAACCTATATAAGCGAGCCTTTTTAGCACCTCCCCTTAAATGTGTAGAAGACGAGGATGCTAATTACATCTTAAGGGAAATCCATGAAGGCATTTGCGGTAATCATATCGGAGCTCGAGCTCTAGCAAGAAAAGCACTAAGGTAAGGATACTTTGAGCCCACCTGCTCAAAGATGTTGCCGACTTGGTTAAAAGGTGTAAGGTCTACCAGTTGCACACCAACATCCCACATTGCCCTCTAAAGCTTCTCAACTCGATGATAAGCCCTAAGCCCTTCCAAAAATGGGGGATGGACATACTTGGTCCTCTTCCCACCAGTACTGGATAATGCAAGTTTGTCATCATTGGGGTAGATTACTTTACCAAATGGGCAAAGATGGAGCCCTTAGCGATAATTACAGAGCAAAAAGTTCAAAACTTTACCTGGAAATTCATAATTTGCAGGTTTGAAAAACCCACAACAATCATCTTGGACAATGGGAAGCAATTTAACAATCCAAGTTCAAGAAGTTTTGTGTCGAGCTAGAAATAAAAAATTACTTATCTGCTCCAACTCACTCTTAATCAAACAGGCAAACAAAAGTGACTATTAGAACCACAAAAATGGCTCTCAACACCAAGCTAGAAACCCTAAAAGGGACATGGGTGGAGCATGTCCCAGAAGTGTTGTGGGCTTACAGAACTACAGCCAAGACGGTGACTCAAGAAATGCCATTTGCTTTAACCTTCGGAACTGAGGCAGTGGCACCCGTGGAGGTCCATATTCCATCCCCCAGGGCAAAGCTCTTAGATCCTGAGCACAATAATGAGTCACTCCTGCTCAACCTCGACCTCTTGGTTGAAAAGAGGGACAAGGCCTTGCAATGCATAATGAGTTACCAAAAGGAGAACAACAAGATATTACAACAAGAGGGTTAGACACAAAAGCCTCAAAGTTGGGGACTTGGTACTCAAAAAGCTTCTTCCTGTGAGAAAGGATCTCACTCATGGAAAGTTAGGACCCAATTGGGAAGGTCTTGACATCATCTCAAAGGTCGTTAGACCTGGGAACTACGAGCTGCAAACGAAAGAAGGGAAAATCTTACCCCATTCTTGGAACGCAGAACTTTTGAAAATATTTTTTTAGTAAACTCTTGTAAGAAGGCCATCATCAATAAAATAACAAGTTACAGCTCAGTCAAGCATTTCACTGGCAGCTTAAAGCTGACGATGTGCTCTTCAGCTCATGAAAGTAAGATGAGCTATCCAGGTCATAAATATATGATGAGTTCTTCAACTCATAATCAATCAATGAGCTCTTCAGCTCATAAAAGTAAGATGAGCTGTCCAGCTCATAAATATAAGACAAGTTCTTCAACTCATAAACAATCGATGAGCTCTTCAGCTCATAAAAAGAAGATGAGCTATCCAGCTCATAAATATATGAGTTTTTCAACTCATAAACAATTGATGAGCTCTTCAGCTCATAAACACAAGATGGGCTCTTCAGCTCATAAATATGAGATGAATTTTTCAACTCATAAACAATTGATGAGCTTTTCAGCTCATAAATGCAAAATAAGTTCTCCAGCTCATAAATATAAGATGAGTTTTTCAACTCATAAGCAATCGATGAGCTCTTCAGCTCATAAAAGCAAGATGAGCTATCCAACTCATAAATATACAATGAGTTCTTCAACTCATAAACTATCGATGGGCTCTTTAGCTCATAAATGGGCGATTAGCTTTCTAGCTCATAAACTAATGATGAGTTATCCAACTCATAAACAAATAATGAGCCCTTCAACTCATATACGAATGACAAGTCCTTCAGCTCACAAGCAAGCAAGGAGCTCCTAAACTCATGAACGATGAGCTCTTTAGCTCATAAACAAAGCAACTAACATAACAGAATTGTAAAGAAAGCAGAAAAAGAGGTTTCTATTCATAAGCGTGACAGATTATTAAGGAAAAAAGGGAAAAATCCCTAAGCCCCTCCAGGCCTTCTCTTCAGCTTAGATATTTCTTCTTCCAAACTAGTATTCACAGCCTGTAAACGAGCATTCTCTTCCTTCAGCTCATCACGCTCCCTCTCCACTTTGGTGAGTAGCTCTGAAAGTGTTAACTAAGTAGCAAAAAATAAAGTATCACCAAAAGAGGAACCTGATGATTGAGATGAGAAACCACTCCTCCTACATTTCCTCGTAGAGGTGGCAACATCCTTATCGTCATTTGACCCAGTAGAAGAAGAGTCTACATCAAGAATAAGAGATAGAGGTCGTTAGATAGCATCCATAGTAGTAGCAGAAACTCCAAACTAGTGAAGATTCTGGGGAGTAACTAGCAATGAGAAGGGGACAACCTCAGCATGGGCCACTTGGCCGACCCTCACCAGCTCGGTCGGGTTCAGACTGGGGGCACCTGCACAAAAAAAGCACAATAAGAACCTATCACTATACAAATCCTAAGTCTCTACCTCTATAAGAGAAACACTCCCAAGAGCGAGGGACTCGAGAACGTGCGGATCGCTGATCAAAGACCTCCAAGAGTCCCCAGAGGCAAAGAAAAAGCATTGAATCACCCTTCAGGAGAATTTGCAATATCGAGAATCAGCAGAGGATCGAAGTGGCACCTCCATCTTAAGTAACTAAAGCAAAGGGGCATGTCATGATCAAGTTCATAAAAATAAAGGAACTTGACAACAGTAGGGAATTCACTATAAACTTGCAGGCACTAAAAGATAAAAAAGCTAATCATAACACCCCATCCTTCAGGAGAAACACGAGAGGGGCACAACCCAAAGAATGCCAGAATCCACCCAATAGAGGGATAGATGGGAAGACAAAGACCCATCTCGAAAGAATCTTCAGAAAAACAAATTTCTCATTGGGGGAAAAAGTTGTAGGGTTCATCAGGAGTTGGGACTCAGAGGGGTAAGTCAGCAAAAGAAGATATCGCCTCTTGATTCTTTATAACTCTACAACGGTAATCGCAGAAGGAAGTAGGAAGTTAGAGTGCCACATCATGTCAATCGTGGCTTGGGCTCTTTGTTTGAATAAGGGAGTAAGAGAATGATCCATGAAAATCAGAAGGAAGGCAAAGAACGCAAAAAAAACTCGAGAAGAATGAGGTGAAGAAAAAATTATAAGATTTTTCAACAATAAGAAATCCCAAGTTTTATGGAAATAATAGGGAATCCTAAGTTTTAAGGGAGCAAGAAACGCGTGAAGACGAAGATGTAGCCCCTTTAAGCATCCAAAATCATGATAGTGGAGGTGTTTTAAGAAAGTAGGTGGACACAAATAACGATAAGAAAATAGGTACTTCATGCTAAAAGAGCAGCTCAGCTTTGCCCAGACTAGATAGAGCTCAGACACAAGCAATTCAATTAAGCTCAAGGATGAGCTATTCAGCTTAGCATAAGCCGAGCTCTTTGGCTCATAGGGATAGGCTCTTCAGTTCACTAGTAAATGAGCCCTTTGGGATGAGCGCTTTAAATCTTAAGATCTTTCTAGCTAGCACCTCGGCTTAAACCAAAGACGGACTCCCAACCTAGGTAATCTAACCTTATACTTCGAGAAGAACTGAGTTCTCCCTGAAGAAAGGGGCAAAGGGGAATAGAAAGAATGCAAGAGCAAAGCACAACAATTAGAGTACAGCTATTTAAAAGCAAAAATGCAAAAATACAAGAATATTGGACAAAAATATTTTTCCATTTCTCAAAAGAAACAGATACGAAGCCATTTACAAGAAAAGGAAACAAAATACAGAGGAATCTTAAATCCTTGCAGTCAAGTCAGCTAGAGCCTCGGGTAGCTTAGGAACCTTAGAATCATCAATTGAAGCAGGGATAGCTGGAATCTTAGACAGCTCAGAAATCTTGGGAACATCAATTGAAGCAGGGTCAGCTAGAGCCTCATACAATACAAGAGCCTCGGGTGCATCAGTTAGAGCAGGGTCAGTAGGAGCAACAGGCAACTCAACAAGCCTAGAAGCAATAGTTGGAATAGGAGTAAGAGCTATAGAGGTAGTTGGAGCAAACGAAACCACCTGAGCAAGGATCTCGGCTGAAGAGATAGATACCTCAACACCCTCGGGAGCAAGCTCAGAAGCAGAGGGGACCAAAATCTCAGCCTTTTTCTCAATGCTTGGCACCTCTTCCTTATCTAAAGAGGGATCAAATTCAAAATCCAAGTTTGGATACTTCTACATAGCTTGATCTTGGAAAGCAAGGTACCTAGTGGCCCGCTTGGTGGTAGTCTCATCCTCCAGCTTGGCAATCAGAGTATCCTTCTTTTTAATAGTAGCTTTCTCAACTTCAATCTCTCTCCACAGAGTGTCATTTATTTTAGCCAAGACGTTGTATTCTCTCTTCATGGCCTTGTAAGACTCAAAAGCCTCGAAGGCATCCTTGCGAGCTTTAACCCAATCGGCAGTCTTCAACCTGAGCTTTTCCTTGGTCTTCTTGACCTCATCCTCAGTTTTCTCTTTCTTAACCTCCAAATCCTTGTTAGCAAAAGACAACCTCTCCACTTGCGCTTGCAAGTCTTGCACCTGAACCTTGAGGTCATCATTAGAAAAAGCCAACTCGACAACCTTGAGCTCACAAGCCTTCATTGCCTTGGTTGAGCTCTCTAAAGTCCTAATCCTACTTGTTAGAGCACTCACATGAATGGCCAGCTAGATGAAAATACAACCAAAGGCTAGAATCAACACGAAGCAACAACACAGGATGAAACTTGGAGAAATAGAAGCTTACTGAAGTAGCCACATACAAGGCGATAGTAACATATGTGGGGAGGGGCATAGTGGCAAGCTTCTAGATGTCAGACTCATGGATTATTGAGGTGATGGCCTCAACAGTAAACCTCATATTATCGACAAGTGAACCCTTATATTTCTCGACCTTCACACCCTCCACCAGCAGGCGATGAACCTTCTCGGAAGGTCTGGGAGAAGGAGGTCCGCACAAGATATGAGCAATTAACTCTAAAACCCCCTCGACCTCTGTTGACAAAGGAGATGCTGACACCCTAGCTTGCTCAGTGGCTCCTCCTGAAGACGAAGGCAAGGTCTCTTAGAGGACTCAGGTCTGTGCAACCTCTAATGAGTTCGGTGGAGGAGTACAAACCACTTGGGAGGGGGAAAGAAGTAGGGGGCACCTCTGTCCTCTACACCTTGGCGAGAGGGGTAGAGTCACTTCTGGATCCGACCTCTGCCTTGCGTTTTCCTCCACTCCTGCCCTTCCTCAGTAACGCAACCTTCGTCTTCAAAGCTTCTGAACTTGGACCTATTGAGCTAGAACCTAGAAAGCTAAAGCAAACAGATCAAAAATGAGGATGAAGTAAAATAGAAGTTAAGGATAAGAAGGGAGGAGGTGTTACCTACAACCTCCTCTGCACCAACAACAAAGATAGGAATAGGAGTCTCTATAGTCACCTCGGAAGGGCTGAACCCTAGCTTGGTAAGCACAGAAGGCTTGATCAAGTTAGAATACTTCTTCAGACAAAAATCTTCAAGCCCTAGTAGAGCAAACCTATCCTCAGCTCCTAGCTCAGGGCGAACATCTAAAGCAACCCAAGGGAATGAGGTCAGCAAATAGAACAATAAGATGAGGCAAGTTGAGCCTGCCCTAAACAAGGACTTACCCAGGTTATCAAGACCTGACCAGAAGCGTGGGACAGGAAGGGTATCATTGGCATCGCTTAGATCAAACTCCCACTCCTTCTCTAAAACAAAGAAGAACAGTTTCTTCCAGTTCTTGTGAGAGCTGGGCAGGTCAATAATCAAAGTTGAGGTCTTCACCCACTTGAAAATGTATAAAAAACTGTCAGGTTGGAAATTGACATTGAAAAATTTCATGAGCAAGGGAACTGAAGGGGCACTGATTTTATTTTTCTTAAAGAAGACAAAGAGCCCCACCAGAATGCCCCAGAAATTGGGGGAGATCTGAGCAGGGCAAACGTTGAAATGTTGAAGGACATATTTGATAAAAGGATGTACAAGGAACCTAAGCCCATTCTCTAGAGAAGCTATGCAAAAAAGGTCTTCTTAGGGACCTTAGAGTAATACCTAACATCTACAAAAGGAATCTAGTAGTGCATGCCCTCGAGAAAATCAAACCTTGTAGATAAGACACTCATAAGAGGAACCGTAACCTCACAGTGACCAATGAGGTCTAAAGCATAAGGAGCGGGTTCGGAGCCCTCAGCATTACTTGAAGATCCAGCTCTACACTTTTTGGCCTTTTCTTTTCTAGATCGCTTAGAACTTGAATGAGACCATGGTAAAGTCAGAGGCACCTCCGCCCCCTCTGCGGCATCAACCCCAAGGAAGTTTGTCTTATTTGTCACCAACATCCCCCAGCTCATCCTCCTCTACATCTAGAGACCTATCACTCATGAAGGAAACAGACGAGACTATAGCTTCGAAAGAGACAGACATAATTGGGCAAGAGAAAGGAAGTCTGAAAGAACTATAAAGAGGGAAAATGTGAGTAAAGCAATCCTTAAGGGCCCAGGGGTCAAGACACTAGCGACCAAAGAGAAAGACTCTAGCAGTAGAGTAAGGATCCAATAAGAAAGGAAGAGAGGACAAGGTAAGATCTCAATTCCTAAAGTAACAAAAGCGGAAAGTCCAGAAATTAAATAACCACCTCGAATTCAAAGACGATTTTTGTCTGCAATCACATTTAAAGGCAAGAGAACATGGACCTTCAAAATAAGGAACCTGCACAAAAAACGAGAAAATATGATTACACGACCGTCACAACCGTCAGAATGAAGTCCTATCATGCGAAAGTCGAGGTCGACCCAAGCAACCTCACTCTTGGCATAATCCCTGCCCAAATCAATTTGTTTGATCAGGGATTAGGGGGCAACTAATGGTACCACAAAATATCTAAGGATGAGCTCGATTTCCCAGGTCATGCTACCCAGCTCGGGAGCTCAACTCATCAGTATTACTAGTGGATCTCAACATTAGATGTAATGTCCTGACCCATTCTAGAGTGTCTAGTAGTTATAACATAGAGTTTTATATTATGAATATTCTTAAACTTAAACTATTATGTTGAAAGTTCTCTTCAATAGAAAATATAAATAAATAAATAGTAAAGAGAGTTTTGAATAATCTAGAAGAATCCAGAAAGTTTTAGAACAATCTAAATAAGTCTAGAATATTTTAGAAGGTTCTAGAATGATTTAGAATGCTCCAAAAAATTCTAGAAGGATCTAAGAAAGGGGAGATGGTAGAATATTCTAGGAAATCTTCTCTAGAATAATCCTTGAATGCCTATAAATAGGGCATGTGGGGATTGGATTGAAGTGCACAAGTAGTCTTCCAAGTAAGAATAGAGAGTAAAAGAGAGAAAGAGGAAAGACATCAATAACGTCTAACTCTACTTCAAGGAACAAGCAACATACCATTTGGACCTGAGGTGAGGGGGTTGGCATGCTACATATTTTTGAAAATTCCCCATATCCCTAAATATTTTTAAAAATAATACATTATGCTTGTTCATTACTACTTTTACAAAATATTTTACTAAGTGTCTAAATGTTTGTGGCATACGATTCTCCTTACCTTGATAAATTCTTTTGTGAAGTATTTGTGACTCAATCACTTGTTTTTATGGTGAGACTTTGTAATGGTGAATTGGACCAAAACTAAAAGTCTAGGGAAATTATTCATCTGTGTGCGGGTGGCTCTGGCCACTAGGGAACAGACCCGGGGGAGGCTGAGGTGACCCTAGTGCTCAATGGTTGAAGGAACAGTGTCTGGTGCGTCCTGGTGACCTTCACTGGATCATCTTAGGGAACAGTTCTTGGGCACTAACCCGTGGTGACCCTAAGTACGGTGTTGGAATCAACCTTAGGATTTTCTAACATTTGGTATGGTTCCCTGATATCGTACAAATCTTTACCATTATGAGGAGATGATACAACTTGTTATTATCACAATGCTATTAGTTATTGGTTTTGATTATTTATCGTATGCCATGCATATTTTCTTGTTATCAGTTATTTTACATTCCTTGTTTTCAAAATTAATATTACTATGTGTGTCTTACCATTCACTGGGCTTTAGACTCATTCCGTTAGATTATGTTTTTTTCAGGTGAGAGACTGGAGTTTCCCTAACAGACTCTGGAGATTTTTGTGGACCTGATTGTGTCGTGACCTCCATAGGATGTTTTTTTCCATCATCTTATGTAGATAAGTATATATGTATACATGTACTTTATTAGTAGACGCTCGGTATGTATGAGCAGTAATCCTCTTTTGTTCGGGTTATGTAGACATGTTACTTAATAATACAAGAACATTTTGTGTTTGTATTTTCTCCTAATGGCATATTGACGATAGGCTTACATGCTCCATGGGATAAGCTCCATGGTTCATGGCCGGTTATATCCCTCGAATCAGAGTGTGACAATTGTGGTATCAGAGCCTAGGTTTTCACCAAACCATTTGCATTGCATTTTAGAGGAGGTTCGGGTCCCAGAGTCTTATAGGCCTAGGTGAGTGTACCAACAATTCTTTGCGCTTAAGATATTTATGTCTTTTCTTATTTTGAGGAAGGAATGGCAAACTGGAGACGACGTAATGTAACGTCCAAGTATATGACCCAAGGGGCTATTAAAAATGGAGTTCCTATGGCTACTCCAGCGGCCCAAGCTGCTCGTACAACTTCGATGGCTCCAAGTGCTACGAATGCTGCAACAGCCCCACCAGTTTCTCCTGCCCTAGCGACACCAATGACCCTAACAACTCCAGATGCTGAAGGGGTTTATAAAGCCCTTCAAACCTTAATAGGGGCAATCACTGGACAACAGTTCCAGCCAGCTAGTGCTACTATCGATGGGACTATGAAGCTGGATAAAGGCACAAATTTTGACAAATTTCTAAAGGCTTATCCCCCTACTTTCATGGGCACTACGGAACCAGCTAAGGCGGAGGCATGGTTGTAGTGTATGGAGAAGATCTTCGAATGTTTGGAATGTACAGACGAACTAAAGGTATCATTCACCACTTATATGTTGGAAGGGCCAGCTGAGAACTAGTGGCGTATGGTGAAACCCCAGTTTGAAGGAAAAGAGCACAAACTAGGGTGGAAAAATTTTGTGCAACAATTCAATGACAAATACTACCCGGCTACTATACGAAGGCAAAAACAAGTAGAATTTCTGTCACTAAAGCAGGGGGCATGATAGTTGCAGAGTATGAGGCAAAGTTTACTGAGCTATCTAAGTTTGCCCCACATCATGTTGCTAAGGAGGCAGATAAGGTATTGTTGTTCGAGAATGGATTACAAGATGAGATCCATAAGAGGGTCTCTTTGTTCGAGGAAAAAACCCTATCGAAACTTGTGACTAAGGCCCTCATTGTTGAAAAGACTCTCGACACCACCTCAGGAGGAAAAGAGTAACTAAGCGAAAGGCCGAGAGACTTCCGTCAGACAGGTCACAACAAATGGAGTAACAACCCCAACAAGAAGACCATGACACCGACGAATGGAGAAAAGAAGCAATAGGCATTAAAGCCATGTTACAAGTGTGGATGGCCACATTTCGCACTCTATCGTTGTGATGGCATAGCACGAGTGTGTTATTCTTGTGGACAACCCGGGCACCTATCCGTGAATTGCCCGACCAAAGGAGCTGGAGGACAACAAACACAACAACTAGCTCAGGTTCATAGACAGCCTGCACGTGGGAGCGGACCGATTCACAGGCAGCTTACAAGTCACCAGGAGCAGGCACAGATTACCCGAGACGGGACTCAAGGACAAGGCCAAAGATCAATTACTCATAGACGAGTATATGATCTTACACATGAGGATGCTGAGGCATCACCATCTGTGGTGCAGGGTACTCTTTTCATATCATCTATACCTACTCGAGTCCTTGTTGATTCTGGTTCTACTCATTCTTTTGCTATGCCTCGATATCTATGACAATTACCTAATATGATCGAGCCATTAGATGTATATGTGGTTGTGTCTACTCCAATAGGAAAGACAATGGTTTTAGAAGACGTATACAGGTCTTGTGAAGTAGAGTTAGATGGTCAGATCCTACATGTGGATCTGATCTCATTAAAGATGCAAGATTTTGATGTCATCCTTGGAATGGACTGGTTGTTGAAATACTATGCAACCGTGGATTGTCATAAAAAGAGGGTGGTTTTCACTATACCAAGACAACCAGAATTCATTTTCCAAGGATTCCAAAAGGTTTCTCCAATTGGTTTCATCTTAGCACTCCAAACAAGCAGACTATTCAGAAAAGGGTGTAAGGGATATTTGGGCTATGTGGCCAGTCATGGGCAGATAAAACAGAAGTTGGAGGAGCTGCCCGTGGTGAAGGAGTTCGCAGATATTTTCCCCGAGGACTTACCTGGTCTTCCCCCTGATTGGGAGATAGAATTCACAATCGACCTCGTACTTGGCACTATGCCCATCTCCAAGGCACCTTATAGGATGGCTCCTGTAGAGTTGAGGGAGTTACAAGTACAGCTACAAGAGTTACTGGATAAGGGCTTTATTAGGCCCAGCGTCTCCCTATGGGGTGCCCTAGCACTCTTTGTGAAGAAGAAGGATGGATAAATGCGCTTATGCATTGATTATCAGGAGTTAAATAAAGTCACAATCAAGAATAGATACCCATTGCCACGAATAGATAATCTATTTGACCAACTACAAGGGGCTTAGGTGTTCTCAAAGGTAGACTTGCGGTCTGGGTACCACCAATTGAAGATTAGAAAGGAGGATATCCCAAAGACAGCCTTCAGGACTCGTTATGGGCACTATGAATTTCTTGTAATGCCCTTTGGCCTCACCAATGCCTCGGCAGCATTTATGGACCTAATGAACAGGGTTTTCAAACCCTATCTAGATCGCTTCGTAGTGGTGTTCATCGATGATATTCCTCATCTACTCCAAGAGTATGGGGGAACATGAGGAGCATTTGAGGATAATTCTCTACACTCTCCGGGAGAAGAAGTTGTATGCAAAGTTTAAAAAGTGTGAGTTCTGGCTAGGTAGTGTATCCTTCCTAGGGCATGTGATAAAAGCAAAGATGGAGTTTCAGTAGACCATCAAAAAGTGGAAGCGATAGTTAACTGGCCATGCCCGACTTTTGTGAAGGAGGTGCGCAGCTTTTTGGGACTTGTTGTGTACTATAGGAGGTTCGTGGAGAGATTTTCTCACATCACGTTACCACTCACTAATCTGACACGGAAGGGAGTCAAGTATGAGTGGTCAGACGACTGTGAGCGTAGTTTTCAAGAGCTCAAGCGAAGATTAACTTCAGCTCCCATCCTTGCATTACCAACTGAGGGTGGTAACTATGTTATCTACAGTGATGTTTCTTGCCAAGGATTGGGATGTGTTCTTATGCAGCATGGAAGGGTGATAGCCTATGCATCCCGTCAATTAAAGTCACACGAGAAGAACTATCCCACCCACGACTTGGAGTTGGCGGCAATCATTTTCGCGTTGAAGATTTGGAGACATTATCTATATGGGGAGTCTTGTGAGATCTACATAGATCATAAGAGCTTAAAATATATTTTCACGCAAAAGGAACTTAACCTAAGACAAAGGCGATGGTTGGAGCTACTCAAGGACTATGATGTCAATATCTTGTACCATCCTGGAAAAGGGAATGTAGTGGCAAACGCATTAAGCAGAAAATCTTTTGAAGGCAGTCTGGCAACCTTAACCGCTAAACCACAATTAGTGGACGATATTCGACATTTGGGGATTGAGATAGTATATCATGGGAAAGGTGTACTTTGTAGTCAATTAACTGTCAAACCAACACTACTAGACAGAGTCAAAGAAGGGCAGCAAGGCGATCCATATTATGTGAGGATTCGAGAAGAATTGCAAAAAAAGAAAGAGTTTGGACTTCTCTATAGATAGGGATGGAGTTCTCAAGTACAAAGGGCGACTCTGTATACCGGCCAGTGATGAATTGAAGAAGGAAATCTTAGCCGAGGCACATAGCTCTGGATATATCGTCCATCCAGGCAGTACAAAGATATACAGAGACGTACGAGATCATTTTTGGTGGAGCGGCATGAAGAAGGACATTGCAAAGTATGTAGCACAATGTCTCACCTGCCAACAAATAAAGGTGGAGCATCAAAGGTCTGCGGGAAAGCTTCAGCCTTTACCCTTGCCAGAATGGAAATGGGAGCACATCACCATGGATTTTGTATTGGGATTGCCTCGTTCACGTGGTGGTCATGACGCGGTCTGGGTGGTAGTAAGTCAGCACATTTTATTGCCATCAAGATGACTTATCCACTGGATCGACTTGCCTAGCTATATGTGAAAGAGATAGTCAAACTCCATGGTGCACCCGTGTCAATTATCTCGGATCGCGATCCTCGCTTTGTCTCTAAATTTTGGGGTGCACTCCAAGCCGCTATGGGCACACGCCTAAATTTTAGTACAGCTTACCACCCATAAATTGATGGACAGTCTGAGAGGACCATCCAGACATTAGAGGATATGCTGAGGGCTTGTGCGCTAGAATGGAAAAGAAATTGGGATGACCAATTACCGTTAGTAGAATTTGCGTACAACAACAACTACCATTCCAGTCTTGGAGTTGCGCCATATGAAGCATTATATGGAAGAAAATGCAGGTCTCCCTTATGTTGGTACGAGGTTGGAGAGAGGCAGCTTTTATGGCCTGATTTGGTTCAAGATGCAACTCAGAAGATCGTTATTATACGGGAGAAGCTCCTAGCTGAACAGAGCCGTCAAAAGAGCTACACCGACAAACGAAGAAAAGATTTGGTGTTCCAGATTAGAGATATGGTATTCTTGAAGGTGTCGCCATGGAAAGGAGTTATCCGATTTGGTAAGAAAGGGAAGTTGAGTCCTCGTTACATTGGACCCTTCGAGATCTTGAAAAGAGTTGGAGAGGTGGCCTACCAAGTAGCATTTCCACCTAAACTTGTGAGCGTCCATAACGTCTTTCATGCATCAATGCTAAGAAAATATGTGCATAGCCCGTCACACGTGGTTAATTATGAGCCATTTCATGTCCGTGAGGACATGACCTACGAAGAGCAACCAATGGAAATTATAGATATGAAGGAGAAAATGTTACGTAAGAAGGCAATCAGGATGGTCAAGGTCTTGTGGCACAATCATGTAATAGAGGAAGCTACCTGGGAACGGGAAGAGGAAATGCACGACAAGTACCCACATCTGTTCGCTTGAGGTAAGAATCATAATTTTGATGACAAAATTATTTTAAGGGGGGAATAATGTAATGTCCTGACCCATTCTAGAGTGTCTAGTAGTTATAACATAGAGTTTTATATTATGAATATTCTTAAACTTAAACTATTATTTTGAAAGTTCTCTTCAATAGAAAAATATAAATAAATAAATAGTAAAGAGAGTTTTGAATAATCTAGAAGAATCCAGAAAGTTCTAAAACAATCGAGAAGTATCTGGAAAGTTCTAGAACAATCGAGAAGTATCCGAAAAGTTCTAGAACAATCGAGAAGTATCCGAAAAGTTCTAGAACAATCTAAATAAGTCTAGAATATTTTAGAAGGCTCTAGAATGATTTAGAATGTTCCAAAAAATTCTAGAAGGATCTAGAAAAGGGAAGATGGTAGAATTTTCTAGGAAATCTTCTCTAGAATAATCCTTGAATGCCTATAAATAGGGCATGTGTGGATTGGATTAAAGTGCACAAGTAGTCTTCCAAGTAAGAATAGAGAGTAAAAGAGAGAAAGAGGAAAGACATCGATAACGTCTAACTCTACTTCAGGGAACAAACAACATACCATTTGGACCTGAGGTGAGTGGGTTGACATGCTACGTATTTTCAAAAATTTCCCGTATCCCTAAACATTTTTAAAAACAATACATTATGCTTGTTCATTACTACTTTTACAAAATATTTTACTAAGTGTCTAAATGCTTGTGGCATACGATTCTCCTTACCTTGATAAATTTTTTTGTGAAGTATTTGTGACTCAATCACTTGTTTATATGGTGAGACTTTGTAATGGTGAATTGGACCAAAACTAAAAGTCCAGGAAAATTATTCCTCTGTGTGCGGGTGACTCTGGCCACTAGGGAACAGACCCGGGGGAGGCTGAGGTGACCCTAGTGCTCAATGGTTGAAGGAACAGTGCATGGTGCGTCCTGGTGACCTTCACCGGATTGTCTTAGAGAATAGTTCCCGGGCACTAACCCGTGGTGACCCTAAGTACGGTGTTGGATCTAACCTTGGAATTTTCTGACATTTGGTATGGTTCCCTGATATCGTACAAGTCTTTACCATTATGAGGAGATGATACAACTTGTTATTATCACAACGCTGTTAGTTATTGGTTTTGATTATCTATTGTATGTCATGCATATTTTCTTGTTATCAGTTATTTTACATTCCCTGTTTTCAAAATTAATATTACTATGTGTGTCTTACCATTCACTGGGCTTTAGACTCATTCCGTTAGATTATGTTTTTAGTCAGGTGAGAGACTGGAGTGTCCCTAACAGACTCTGGAGATTTTTGTGGACCTAATTGTGTCGTGACCTCCATAGGATGTTTTTGTCCATCATCTTATATAGATAAGTATATATGTATACATGTACTTTATCAGTAGACGCTCGGTATGTATGAGCGGTAATCCTCTTTTGTTCGGGTTATGTAGACATGTTACTTAATAATACAAGGACATTTTATGTTTGTATTTTCTCCTAATGGTAATATTGACGATAGGCTTACATGCTCCATGGAATAAGCTTCATGGTTCATGGCCGGTCATATCCCTCAAATCGGGGTGTGACATTAGACCTCAACTCCATGTGTCCATATCTCAAGAAAGTTTGTTCAAAAGATAGCTGGATCCCACCAAGTCCCCCTATCTTTTGGGCATCAATCACCTAATAGGCGCAAGTCTCGTTGCACAATAGAGGCAAATGTTACAAGGAAGGGGTGAGGATCTTGCCCCAGATCAAGCAAAACCTAGGAATATCTATAAATAAGAGGCAAAGCCCTCTAGAAAAGGGAGAACCATTGTAGCCTTTTAAAATATTCTCTGTAAACCACACCCAGTTATTAATATATTCAAGAGCAAGCAATTCCCTTAAGAGTGGATTAACTAAGTTTCTAAGCTGACGAACCACTATAAACACTATGCATAATTATCCACTAGTCCAAACACCCTATTCCTTAGAGCCTTGGAGTTTAGCCTGAATTGCTCAGTGCACCTTATATTCATACCTCTATCCAGTTATGTTAATAACTTCATCAGTTAGGATACTCAATCTTGGCCCATTTATGAAACTCCTCAAAGCCATTCACATAGAATTCAAGGGTGAGATCAGAAAAGTCTTGGATTTCTTGAAGTCCTAAATGGAACCAATTTGTCCTCAACTCTTTTAAGAGCAGCGAAAAGCTCGGGCACCTAAACTTCGACACCCTTCTTCTCATCCTTAGCCTCAGCAACCCACTTGGAAGCATTGACTACTTTTGTTGTAGTCTCTGCGATCTTCGCCGAAATTGTAGACAACTTTTCCTGTAGCTCGCCCTTTAGTACTTGTGGAGAGACTAGGGAATCTTTGAATCTCTCATGATCCACCTTTTTCGATTCAAGACTCTTCATGTTGGACTTCAACTCTACCTAAGCTTAGTAATCGGCTTATCTTACATCTCAAACTTCTCATCCTAGATCTTTTATGTCCCCACAACATAAATGGTTAGATCGGCTGACAAGGTAGGCATTTGAAAAAGCAAACATAAATGAAAATCGCAAGGAAAGTTAGTCGAGACTCGAACAATGAAAGGAGAAATTACCCTCCCAATGGCTGAAGCAATCATAAAAGCTATCTTAATAGGCCCAAAGTCAAAGACTAACTACACCTCCAAGTCAGCAACAAACTCCTGCACCCTACAAATGCATCCTCTTTATCATCCCAATTGGAGGCTTTAAACTCCTCATCCAAAACTTTCTCCATCCCTTTGTCTTTGGGAGCAATAGGGGAGGAGTAAATGCCTATCGCTGGAGACTTGGGTGTGGAGCCTTCTACCCCAACAGTAATAGGAGGAGGTGTAGACTGCTTAAGACTATAACCAGCCCTCCAGCAACTCAAGTGAGGTAGAGGGTTGCTCTACAAGGGGTTGAAAAAAGACCCCTTTGCTCTTTGGTATCTTCAATGGAAAGGACTTCATTTTCTTGGGGATAGGAAGGTCAGAACCAACAGATATCCAAATTTCTTTAAGGGCTTCTTTTTTTTTTTTTCTATCAATCTTGGGCACTATTTTTACACGCAGAGTAGAACTCGTTTGGAAAAAGAAAAATGAGAAAACCCAATAAACCTCTAATAAGCCAAGCCTTACCAAAAGAAAGGGGAGATGAGAGTTCTAGACTTTGAAAAGAGCTTTGAATAAGAGGGGTTACTCAACCCTCTAGGCAACTGTCGAACAAAGACTGGTTAGTCGCCAATTGAGAAAAATCATGTCTTATACAACAAGGCCTTGTCCACTCTTTGTTGAAATTCTTGAGGTAACGACTCAATTTTACCTGCAAAACAAATTAAATTAGATTAGCTCAACATTTCCTAATGCAAAAACAACAACTGCATACTAACACTCACTCACAGATGGAAGGGTGCCCAAAGGTGGGGAACAAGACAGGGACGAGCAGGAACAAGTTCTGAAGAAGAAAATTTGTCCTTCCAACCCTTAACTAATGAAGGGGAACCTGTGATAATGTCACCCCTATCCAATTTGGTTAGGTAATACCATCCAAGATTTTGGCCCAAGCATGGTTTAAGTTGATAACAGTAAAGCAGCTCAACTATGGTGGGATGTACCCCAAACCATTAGCCTTGGGCCAAAGAATTCCTAGGACGATCAACAATCTCTAACTATTAGGGGTCAGCTGGATTGGGGAGAGATTCAAGAAGAACAAGGCTTCCCTAATGTGATTTGGTAAAGGAAATCTAAGTCCTCACATGAAGGCCATAGAAGTAGACCTCATTCAGAGCAAAGCTATTAGTTGTCTCCTTAGAGGATGGCAAACGAAGACGCATAGATTTAGGGAATTGATACAGTGATATAAACCGAGCAAGGTCATATATGCTAAGAGAACAAGAAAATCTCTTAGCTCCTAGATTCAAGAATTGAGTCAAAGTCTTTGTTAGCTTGGCAGCCTCAACAACTAAAGTCAGAACAAGATCCAATTGAGTTTTTTCGGAATCATTATTGGGATTAACCATAACGAAGAAACTATCATGGTTGCAATATTGGTTGAGAGGAGTTAGCAATTTAATTCCTAGAGAAGGGAGAGAGGCATGAATTGGAAACAAAGCCTCACCTAAGAGCATATGAGTTATCAACGAAAAGCTCTAAGTGCACGAGATCTCAGTTCTTCCACTTGAAAAACCAGAACCGATATATATGATATTGAAATGGATGACTCCAACCTACGTACTCCAGCTTGAAAGATTTTCAAATAAAGAAGAAGAAGAAATGCTTAGAGTTCTTAAGTGAGGTGATTACTGTTGAAATAGAGGTCTAAGCTCAGAGACCAGCCCTTGCAGTTATAAAGGGGCTCACACGTTCTTACATTAAGGTGGTTATTCTTTTACACATTTGCAATGACTCACACATCTTGAGTATAGCGGTTACCATTTCCCACGATCATAACGATTCCACATTCCCCGTTTTCCAAGGAAGAAACTGATAGAAATATTAAAATGCCCCACGTGACTTGTACACTAAGCTAAACCAAGGGGGCAACTATTGGGAAAATTTTTTGAGCTCGAAAAGAGGAGCTCGGATCATTAACTAACTCTACAGGGCTGACTTTATCCACCCCAGCTTAGCTCATCAGAGTTCGACACAGGCTGGAAGTCGTCTACGGCATCTCTACTTTGGAGGTACAAGGACCCAACTTGGAGTCCTGAACAAATTAAAAGTCCACGCACATACTACTCTAGAAAAAGAGATAAAGAGAGAGAGATAAACCAAATCCAATCATATCCCAACCGACTGATCATCAACTCATATTCCACGTGTAGTAAACAGTGAGCTTGACCTAGGATGTAAGACAACAAATCCAACTCAATTAGCAATTTCTTTTGTATTCTCTTTATCTGACTTAAGTATTAGAAGTTTGACCTCTGAAGTCCCTTCAACTTTCTTTTTAGTTGGGGAGCATGTCCCAGCAACCAAATCAGGGAGATCCGATTTTGGCATCAACAATAATAACTAATTTTTTTCCAAAGAATCTGTAGAAAGGATTCAATTTTGCACAAACAACGATAAACCCTAGCAGGTCAAAACTTGGGAAGCTAATGTTACCTTTCATTCACCGTTCAAAAATATGATATCACCAACCAGCCATAAGCTAATTCAATCTTTTTCTTTTCCCCAAACATGGATTTGACATGACTGAATGATACACAAACATAAGGCACGTAACATTATTTTGACCAAAGTATGCGATAAACAATGTGTCATGCGGTCATTTTCTCTCTTGGATTTACCTTTGATTAGGAAGATTTTGAATATTTTCAATAAATTTTCTATTTCCACTCAATTCTTTATTTTAAAAAGTCAATCAAAAAAATTCATCTCCGATAGACTCTTTATTTAGATTATCTAAAATAGATAGTCTAATTTGATGCTCTACATTTTGATGTGTCAAACTCATTCTCTCTTCTATATTAATGAATGAGAAAATGACACATATACAAATTTCACAAAGAGCAATGTTATAGGAACTTCATTTAAGGATCTAATCAGATATCTAATTCAATAATCATTTAATAGGTTGTGAATTATAATCTTAGATGAAATCAACTTTCAATCCAATAGCTATAGTTGATTAAGTCATCAGATTAGGTCCTCGAGTTAGATTTAAATAGTATTTTTCTTTCATAAATGTTTTGACTATAGAAACTATTTTTTTACCAAAATAGGCTATTGGAGTTGTTAAAAAATTTCACTCTCTATTTTAATTTTTCATCATAGATACTCTTTATCTTGGAAAAATAATGATCTCTAAAGTAAAGTAAAGAATGAACGTTTTTCATGGTACATTGCCTGTGTATTACCACTGCTACAAATTGAAAAGGATAGGGGGTTTTCCCTTTGCCCAAAAAAAACATCTCCACACATATCCAATTATTATCATATTTCTGCAGAGGCCCCTGAAACGGGCTTTATTTTATGATACAGCCTCATCTCAGAGCATGTGTAATTGACGTTTGGAATGTTACAAATCTAGAGGACTATCACATACTAACTAAAAAAAAATTATAGGAGAGACTATTGAAGATTGGAAGAACTCTTTATATTCACTCATATCCAAATGGATGTATTACATAGGATATTTATAGACTTCCATAACATACAAAATAACCCCACTACATAATGTAATAATAAAAATAATAAAGACCTCACTCCTCCATTACTTGGATAATTAAAATACCACAATTACTTTGTCACCCACTAAAATCAAATTAATGACCCACTAATACAAAAAACTAAATGCATAAAATATAACTCCTAAAAATGAAAAGTCATGTTTAATATTATTTTTCCAACACCCCCCCCCCTCCCTAAACATGATTTTTCTTCTCAACTCCAAGCAAACTTCTCAATTTACAAAAGACATCCTCTTTGAGGGGTTTAGTGAAAATATCGGTAATTTGATCTTGAGACATCACAAACTTGAGCTCCACCTATTTCTTAGTCACATACTCTCTAATGAAATAGAACCTTGTATCGATATGCTTACTACGATCATAAAACACCGAATTCTTTGCCAATGCTAGTGCCAATTTATTGTCAATGAAGATCGCTGTTGATTCTTCTTGAGGCAAATGAAGCTCCTTTAATAAATTTCTAAGTCAAATGACTTGACAAATACATGATGTAGCCGCCACATACTCGGCTTCACAAGTCGAAAGAGTCATAATAGGTTGCTTCTTTGAACTCCAAGCAAATGTGGTATCTCCCATGAAGAAAACATACCCGGTAGTACTTTTTATATCATCCATATCTCCGGCCCAATCACTATTACAATAACCAGTAAGCTTAAAATTGTTAAAACAAGAATATAACAATTCATAATCAAGTGTACCTTTGATGTATCTAAGAATTCTTTTCGCCGCCTTCAAATGGGTCATGGTAGGAGCTTCTATATAGCGACTCACAAGACCAACACCAAAAAGAATATTCGGCCTTGTGCATGTTAAGTACCTCAAGCTTCCCACCAGGCTCTTGAAATGGGTAGGATCCACATGCTCTCCATCTTCATATTTTTGACAATTTTACACCACATTCAACGGGTGTGCATACCGGCTTACAATCTTGTATCTTGAATTTTGTCAAAATTGCTTTAGCATAACCTTCTTGAGAGATAAAAATACATTCCTTCATTTGCTTCACTTCAATGCCAAGGTAATATGACATAAGCCCAATGTCGGTCATATTAAATTCTTTAGCCATTTCTCTCTTAAAATTTTCAAACATTCTTAAACAATTTCCAGTGAAGATCAAGTCATCCACCTACAAACAAGCATAGAGTATATCACCATTATCATTCACCTTTGCATAAAAAACATGTTCATAGGGACACTTGGTTAAATTATTTGCTTAAAAGTACTTGTCAAGTCTATTATTCCAAGGCCTTGGTGCTTGCTTCTGTTGGTTTTTTTTTATGGAGTCTAGTTTGTATATGTGATCCGGGATGATGACCCGACCCGAAATAATGTTGTGTGGTTTTTAATAGAAAATTTTCTGAGGCTTAGTCCATGGAGCGAAGGCTTGGGCTGATAGGCCCAAGCCGTAGCGCTCATGGACAAGCTTCATGGGGGTTCGGGGGCAACGCCCCCGAGGAAAATTTTTTTGGGCCCGTTATACAGCCCAGTGCGTAGGACATATAAACCCTGTTGTTTTGGTGATTAGGGTTAATTGTGGATGTACAGCCGCTCTCTGTATTCAACTCTCTCAATAGTGAAATCCCTGCAGCTTCGTAGACGTAGGCAAATTGCCGAACCACGTAAAATCTGTGTCTTGTTCTTTCTTGTTTCTTATTGCTTTATATTCTTGATTTGTTCTTCGATTGTGTGTGTTTGTTAGTGGATTTAAATCGTGAGAAATCCCTACAGCTTCAAATCATACAAAGCCTTTTTTTAATTTCAAGACTTTCTCTCCTTGCCCTTTCACAACATAACTCAAAGGTTGTTCAACATATACTTCTTCATCAAAAAAGCTATTCAAAAAAGCGGACTTTACATCCATTTGATGAATTTTCAATCATTTAGAGCGGCTAAAAAAATAATTAATCTAATTGTTTCCAAACAAGCAACAGGTGCAAATACCTCATCATAGCTAATACCCGGTCTTTGACTATAGCCTTTTGCAACCAACCTTGCTTTGTACCTCTCCACTTCACCCTTGGCATTTTTCTTTGTCTTGTACACCCACTTCACTCCAATGGCCTTTTGTCCTCTAGGGAGTGTGGCAAGTTCTCATGTTTCATTTCTTTCAATAGCATCAATTTCTTCATTCATGGCACTCCTCCACTTCTTATATTGTGCCGCTTTCTCATAGCCTATGGAATCACAATCCACAAATAGATAAAATAGTGTTAGATCACTAAATCCTTGAATTACCTCTTCGGTTTCTTCATAGATATCTCGAAGACTTCTCATGCGAGGTGGCCTTTCACTTGAACTTGCTTCGGATGATGATGGAGATGCTTGCACATTGGTAGGTGATGGTGGTGATGGTGGAGGAGAATAAATGGGTAGCTCCATGATCTCATTATTGGGCTCCTCCTCTTTTTCAAAGAATGGGAAAAAATCATAGTCTTCTTGTGGAGTGTTCCAATCTCATTCATCTCCTTCATCAAACTCAACATCTCTACTAATGATTATCTTGTCATTACTTGGGTTGTAAAGCTTGTAACCTTTGCTTCTTGAATCATAGCCAATGAAGACAAAATTTTCACTCTTGTCATCTAGTTTGGTTCGTTTTGCATCTAGCACATGTGCATAGCATACACTTCCAAAGACCCGCAAATGAGAAATATTTGGCTTGATTCCTCCCCATGCTTCTTGTGGTGTTTTGTCTTGAACACTTATAGTGGGACACCGATTTAACAAGTAGATGGCACAACAAATAGCTTCCGTCCAAAACTCTTTGGGCATTTTTTTACTCTTCAACATACTCTGAGCCATGTCAAGAATGGTTCGGTTCTTTC